ACACCCTGATGCATGTTGGATAGCGGTCGACGGGTGGAATAATAGTAGTAGATGCAGGCAAGAAGTCGGTCTACTTGTCTCAGACGTGATGCCTATATACATGATCATAGCTTTGAAGATCGTCATGACTATGCGCTTTTCTATCAATTGCCCAACAGTAATTTGTTCCTTCGCCGTATGTTATGTGCTCGAGAGAGAAGCTTCTAATGAAAGCTTTGACTCCCCCGAGTCTACTTTTATCATATATAAAACACAAAAAATACCTTGTTGTACTTTTATTTATTTTATTTTGTTTTGCAATTTATCTATTTACCTACCACTACAAGATTTGGTCCTTGCAAATAACTGCCGAGGGGATCGACAACCCCCTTGTTTGCGTTGGGTGCAAGCATTTGCTTCTGTGTGTGTGGGTGCTGCTAACAGGTTCTGTGTGGTTCTTCTACTGGATTGATAACCTTGGTTCTTAACTCGGGGAAATACTTATCTCTACTGTATTGCTTCATCCTCTCCTCTTTGTGGAAATCCTAACGCAGCTCACAAGTAGTAGTCGCCCAAGCGACGGAGATGGCGGAGCAGACTGCCGTTCTCGAGTCCATCCATGACAAGGCGCACGTGGAGTCCAACCGTCACTTCATCCGACAACAACAGTTTTGACGAGGTGGAAGCGGAGGCCGCCGCGCAGCCGGAGTTGTGTCTGCTGCCCATATACCGAAAGCCCGGAACAGTGATAGTGGACATCTCTGATGACAACGAATAGTCTAGCCTAGGTTTAATTGTCTACGTACTACGTAGATGTTTACTTTCATGGTTTTTATGGTTTTAAGGACTTGAAGTATGAGGTATTTGAATGCAGAGACCAAAATTTAAGGGTTGTCCGTTCACTACCTGCGGACACGCCTGGGTGCGTCCATGGACGTTTGAGGGGCATCATGCTGTAGATGCTCTTACTCTTACTAAGGAATGTGGTCATTCAAAAAAAGCTACCTCCTAAGTTAGATGACCAAGATACCGTGTCTACTTGGATGATCCATGTTGGAGTTTGCCCTATTAGGTCATTTCTAACCGATCCCCTAAAAGTTACTGGAGTAAAATTTTACTCCACTAACGGTGGCTGCAGCTAGCCGATCCTAGTTAGCGGAGTAAAATCAAATTTGTGGTCGTTTTGTATACTAACACAATCTCTACACAATATATATCTTCAAATCATTCAAATTAAAGCATGGGTAGCAATAAATCGTAATAACATAAAGTTTCATCACCGTGTTTTTTAAATTTAAACATGCGAAGTTCACCCAAAATACATCACTTCAAAGTTTGATTCAAAATCACCACAAAACATAGCATGTATATGTTGTGGATCGAGCCAATTTTTGGCATGCACCACCACCCTCTCGGCCACCACCACTCAAACGACATCCTCGACAAAGAAATCAACCTCGACATCCTCTCGGCCACCATCACCACCACCACCATCCTCCCGGCCACCATCACCATCACCACCCCCTCGGCCGCCATCACCACCACCCCCTCGACCACCACCGACATTCTGAAGAGAGGCCAAGATTTCTCCACGATTGAGCTCCCAATACTTTCTTGCGATTTCATCCATTGTGTTTGGATTCATGAACATGATAACACACTCTACAATGTCAAAGAAAGCACTATAAACAATCACTACCGATCACGAACAATCACTATCAAATACCAACGGGACACGAGGTTTTATTTTTACCTTGTAGGCATTTCATCGAGCACTTGGCGGTCGCATTTTTTCTTGCCAGCTGCGGTTGCCTCTCGCGTCAGAGCAGTCGCCGTAGGGGCAGTCGGAGTTGCCGCACGAGGCATAGGCTTTGGATGAGGCGCGGTCGCGGTCTTCTTCATCTTCTTCTTGGCGGCCGCTTCGGCGAGCGTCGCTGCTGCCGCCGTCGGCTTTCGAGCATGTTTGCCTCTGGTAGGTGCGGCGGGAGGGCGGCGTGCCGTTGCCGGAGAAGCGGTGGCCACCCTGGACACCATTAGCGCGGTTGGAGGCGGGGCTTGGACCTGGTGGTTCTTTGTCATCCCCAAGCTTTTTTTTTCGACACCGGCAACAACACGTGGG